CGTAACTGACTGGTAAGGCAACCTTGAGTCAGACCATGAAAGGTCTAGTCACTGAAAAACAAACCCTTAATTTAAATGTTAATGAAAGTGCTGCGGAGACATCAGAGGGTTACATTTTTTGCAAGAGGCAGATACACTGGGAGTAGAATTTATGGCCCCCCATTGCCTCCCCTCTTACTAGCCTTGCTTCATCAGCCAGGGAAGTTAAAAAAAAAACACTAATTTTAACATTAACTCCACACTTCCACCCTGGGATGCAATTGCTAAATTATCTGCTGGCAGGACACTGATCAAAGGTGGAAAAACAAAGGCACACTGCACAGCCAAGCAAAAGTAAACAGCGGCCATGGCCCAGGAAAATTACCTTCTCCATCACTCCCCTTGGAAGTTTGAAAAATGGAGGAAGATCACTAACTGGGAATGGAAACCTGTAGTCCTATGACTGTAGGACCCCTGAACCGTAATCAATGTTATAGGAGAAACTGACATAGGCATTTTCCCCTTCACTGTGCAATATGGTAGGTGAGGCTTCTCCCTTGGTGTTTCAGGAAGCTTCTCTGCCCTTGGAAATAATTAGAATCAGAGCAGCGGCAATAACCACATACACTTTGAGGAACTGAAGGAGAATTTGATAGAACAGGAAACTTCCTAATAGTGTGAAGTATTTCAATAGGATAGTCTCCTCTTTACAATATATCTGCATGCTCGAAGAGGAGAGAAATTCCATTTAAATCTTGTCCTCCAACATGCCAATACCATACACAATGTGTTGGTATGATGGAAGAGTATCTGCATGATCTCCAAATAAACACAATTAAAATAAGGAAGCTTTTAAAAAGTACAAAAGAGCCTACCATGCCAACAATCTAAAATTATTCCTTCAAGAGAACAGGTGAACAGGGTTACAAAAGAACTAACTAACTTGCTTGCTTAATTAGAGATGGAAATGAGGGAACCAAGCTGGAAAAATTCCTGCATTACTTTTCAGGAAAAAAACCATAACTACACAACAATCTGCAGGGAGCAGCCTTGTAAGGTTTCACAGATTCGTTTTGAGGAGCAAACTACAAACTGAACCTGAGCTTTGCAAATCAAGTTGGCATCTTGACAATGCATTCCATCAGTGACAACTTAAACCTCCCTTCAGATAACACACATCACTTCAATTCCTTCATTGGAGAGGCAAAGGAAGCATGTAGAAACACTCCTAGTACTATAAAGACCTTATGGCGCATGCAGCTTCCTAGAATCATAGGTGACAAGGGCCTAGAATAGCAGCAAAACATTTTGTATTACTCACTTTACATGGCAAACCTTGCTGTGATGTAAAATAGCCTTAACAGATGAGTTCACAGTACAGAAGAATGCATCCTGCCATAAATTGGATAACAGTTTATTATAAGAAAGGTTCAGAAATGAGTACAGGTCATCCTGCACAGGACCCAGAGAAGGTAAGGTGCACATCTTATCCCTGCTACACATTATCCCTACTACACATAACACCTGGATCTTCAGCCTACACTGATATTTTGCATCTGCACCACAATTGCAAAGGAGACAACATCAAAAGCAATGCAAGTAGCATGAGCCTAGATCCTTTGAGCTTAAGGATATCTTTCGGCTTTCAAACCCCTCTCACTTAGAAGAAGCTACCTATCAGTGCTACATGTCCTAACTGAGCAGAGATAGAGTTCTTGAAAAACTATCACAGAATCCACAAAAGCTCTAGATGATTGTAAGATAAAGAGCAAGTGGATAAAACATACATTGCATCCTGAAACAGAAGCAAAAATTGGCAATAATTCAGCATCCTAAATGTATCTACTCAGACAAAAACAGAACAAGACCCTAAAACTAGACAAGAATATCGAGCCACCTTGAAGCGAACTCTGTTTGGAGTGGGCAAACAATCAGTTCAGCTTGATCTGCTGTGATGGGTTGGGGGAGAGAGAATCTCACCCTGTACTAGTAGTGCCCCCAAACTGTTTCTTTTAGGAAAAAAACATTTTCTTGGAAGCAACAGGTTTACAGGTTAGCTGACACCTCTGCTGTGTGGAATTTTAATTAACTTCTCCCATCATTAATACATTAAGAAGCAGAGGCTCTATTATATGGGGTCAGCAGCATGTTTCAAGTCTTGGTATATCAGCCATCAAATTGAAGAATTAATGAGGTGGCTAATCAGCTGTAATACTTGGGGATAGGAAGGAAAAAAGAGGTGCAGCAGGATCATTCTCATAAAACAAGCAAGTGATTCAAACCTGGTCACTGATGGAGAAGCCACTCTGCAAGCTTCCATTTATCACCCGGTTGAGGGGGAGGGGGAGGGGGGGCGCTAGGTAAATATTGTGACAGAGTGTGTGTGTTCACTCCATGGAGAGAAGTCAGTGTTCTGACAAGAGGCCAGACCTGCAGGTCATCACTTAGTGTGCAATACAAGTTTTCTCCCAGTGAATCCAGTGCATACCTCCCAAAGCTCTACATAAGCAGTATGAAAGTACTGGTTTAACTAATGGGTAAGTAGTTTTTAAGCTGTGCCCAGTTATTAGTGCTAATAATAACATGCAACTGTAATTGTTCTTATGGATGTTAAATGGTGCTCACTAAATAGACTGGAGGCAAACAAGGTGCTCTTAAGGCCAGGCTACAGAAGAGGCAGAAATTAGTCACTGTAACAAGCCAAGTGTTGAGACTAGGATATCTTTTTGAAAAAATAGGTCTAGCTCCAAATTCAAGGAAAGCCTGCACAGGAATATTCATTCACAAGTTGAAGCTCATAATTCAGAACAGAAAATTGACTTACTCAAACTACAACTGCATCCTTACAATCTGTTCAGATGATTACTAGCAAGCCTCAAAATAAAAGTTAAGCCAGAGTACAAAACTCTTCAGAATTCTTCAGACTCTGCTCAAGCTACAGTGATTAAGTTGTGTTACTTTTCCAAAGAATGAAAAATGTTTGCCTTTCTTCAGTTCTTAACATCAGCAATATAACTACCAAATAACTCATTCATTAGGGCAGTTTAACTTCTCATGTAGGAATACTTCATACTGTGTTCATAAAAGCCCAGCATATACCCCCATGAATTTCTGTGACCCACAAAAAATGAGTGCACCTCCAGTAGCTTCCAGTACAATGCAGCTTCAACAAATGCAGACATACTTCTTTTATTTTGCACCTTTAGCAAAAGAGGCTATCTGAATCAGAACCAAACCATGAGCCTCAAATCTACTTTGTTCTTCAAGTGTTGCCAAGGGAATAAAACTGTTCACTAAACGAGTCTCATATAGAAAATGCACACACAGAGGGCATCAACATGGAGTTTTTATGGTAGTCTGGAATTACAAGTGCTTTAGTCTCATTTAAAATTTTGTTTCTCTCACACACATTAAAATGTGAGCAAACTGCACCTAAAGACAGATTTTTTCCCCTTCCATAAGGTTTGCATAAATTGATTGAAACTAACTCTAACTATCTTCCAACTGTATGCAGATTTCCTAAAAGTAATGGTGGGATTTGTGCATGCACTCCTTGCCCTTGCTGCAGCTTTCAACTTCTTCCATTCTTCTGATTTTAACCCCTTTAGCAAGTCAGGTACATGAGTAATCATACGCATTAATACATCAAAATAGTACATGAGATCCTATCAAAATTCTTCAGCAGTTTCCATTTTACCAATTCTTTCAAATAACTTATTTGGAAATGCTAATCTGGGTTTGTATTCTAAGCCCCATCTGCATCATCAGAGCAAAGCATGATGTATTATAGGTAGAAAATGAAATGCTTTCCAGGTTGTAATTGCAATGTGGAATGTGGTTGTACAAGGCTGTGATGTACTTACTGGTGATTGACAGAACTCCTCTCATGCTCAATAGCATTCTATTAGAAGTGATTAAGTTGCACTGAGTGTGCATCCTTCACTCCCGCACAATTCATATGCAGAATACCAAGTACTGGATTAAAAATTGGTGAACAGCAAAACAGCTACCGTCTGCACACTAAAAGAGCAGACCTTTGATGCATATATCTATCAACTAGGTGAAGATTAGATATTATAATAAGGGACATTTGCAAGCACAACATCTAAAATGTGTCAGGGTAAACTCTGGGAGGATATGTTTAGACTAGAGTTCGAACAAACTCAATGGAATCTGCCCTTCTAGCATTTGCAGACTTCCTCTTGGGCTTGGCCTAGTCTTAAAAAGCAAGCCAGGCTGAGAGGAAGACCATGAATATCACAGAATTAAGCTTGCAAAACTAGCAACCTTCTTCCATTGCAGCTGCAACAGCACAAACAAAGGCTGCTGCATATGGCACAGAAGAGGGCTGCTGCTGGCTCAGCACATAGGGTTCAATTCCTGGCAAGCACCACATGAATGCTGAGCACCTAGGACTCAGACTTGGGGCCACAGCAAAGCAGTCCAGAGGCCGGGGAGTCAAGCTAGGGGAATCCAACAGATTCCTACCCCCAAAATGATTCCTCGCGTATTCCTAGTTTAGACCTCTAGTTTTCATTTTTAGAAAGCAAACAAAATCTCAGCTCTACAACATTCCAAACAGAGCTTTGAGCAGGCACAGGCCCCTTATATGTGCTAAACATCACAAAAACGGTTTAAAACTGGAGACATCTATGAATAGTATCCAGTGATAGATACTTCTAAGTCTTTGCATCATTTTATTTAATCCACATATAGTCCACAATGTTCCACAAGTTTAAAACTTTCCTTTTCAAGATTTTTGGTACCGGAAGAGAAAATCCTCAAAATTTTGCAAGATCTAAACATTATTCAACAAACATGCTATCTCATTGTCTCTCTGCATAACAGACTTCATTTATACAAGTAAGTTCTTTGAGAGATGAAAGTGGTGATATTTTGACAGACACTTATAGACTTCTTGCATACTTGCATGATAAGCAGCTTTGCAAATAAAGCAAAATCAAAATAAACACAAAGTGTCCATATATTCCAATGCAGTTTTTAAATGACTTCTTTGATACCTCGATAAAGGACTAATGGCAATGGACCAAACTCGGTCTTCAGTCTGTACTGTGTGAAGGCATTGCCCAGCTCTGCCTGGTGACAGGGACCAAACCTAAAGAGAAAAAAGAAGAGGCACAGAAAGAATTGCATGCAATACAAAGTAAAAAGGTATGTTTAAATATAATCTCCCTGTGACATCTTTTGAATACAAAGTAAAATGAGCAGAAAATGCCTAAATCATCCCCCACCTCACCCCAAAATTCTGATTGAAAAATTTCTGGGCAAACAGTTTACTCATAGTAATGAAATGATAGAATAGATTACTAGCATTACCTATCTAAATGAGTCCTAGGCTCTGAAGGCAGTGGATGGTCACCTGATATGTCATGTTAGAATAAATTGCTATTTTATCTCATCGTTACTCTATGTGGGCAAATGCTTAGATCTTTCTTCCCCAGTTTTCTCAGAACAATGGAAATACATGGAGAATCCTGTGCAGTGTCCCCTTGTTTTTTTACTAACTGTTAAAACATGTGCAACCCCCTAATGCAGGTTTATAGTATTTATTCTACCACCGTACATGCCATTACCAGCCTGAAAGGACTTGCTTATGAAGTTTATGAGGCTTTAAGATACCTGTTACTCACGCAGTAAAAAGCTTAAACTTGTCTTCCTGAAACCATTTGGATCCCAGCACTTCTTCCCTCCATGCCCCTGCAAATGAACCAATTGCCCCCCCCCCTTTTTTTTTCTTTTTGGAAACGTACAGTTCAAAGCCTCTGGTTCCCTCCCAGACTATTCCTGATGTCTTAAGGGAATTCAAAGCTAGGAGTGTTGTATTTGTTTGTTTGTTGATAATGCTCAGGATTGCCAGCTATTCGGTGTCAGTGGGGAATTTGGCACCTAGTGTCAGCAAAAGCAACAGAAAAACTGAGCTCTTTTAATGCATCCCTATCTCATACAGGTTAAAAATATTGCTAGAAGCATGCTATCTGGTGCCTATCAATGAGGAATGTGCATTAGCAGCTACTCAAAGCTCAGCCCTAATCAACACTCACTATCCCCCCAAAGCACCCAATGCACTTACAGCTCCCATTAGAGACCTACTAGGGATTCCCTTCCAGCTAGGAGTCAACATAAGGAAAATGTCACTTGGTAAAAATAAAAGCAATTACCTGCATATAAGAGTGTTAGTTAAGCCAAATTCCATTTCTACTTTAAGCAACAACAATGGACACAATTAAAGCAAATTCCCTTTTACTATGAGGAGTTTGCTTTCAAGGTCATGAGATGCAACAGCTTTGGCTGGAGAGTATGTAAACTTCCAAGTTACACAGAACAATTTGTCCAGAAATAGAGAAATTGATTCTCACCTATGTAAGCACAGCAGCTGCTTCTCCAGATTATTTATCTATTTGACAAATCCAGAAGCTGGGACAAGAAAATGGGAGGAGAAAGAAATTGGAACTTGCTGTAGGGAGCATCTAGTCCAGGGTCATTGCTCTCCTATCACCAACCCAGAGAACTTTGATGCTTACACAGCTAAATTTTCACTCATAATGACACAAAATATATAGGGCACACTGTAGGAGCTCCAGTATTTCATTGTTCTGGAGTTAGAAAGTACATACATGTTGTGGTAACTTCATAAACTAGTATTTATTACAATACAATCTTATGTAAGAAAAAGGAGTAATTTAAATCTTTACCTTCTTTCCTCCCAAGGAGGAATACACTACTCAGCTTTAAAATACTTATCCAGAATCCATGTATTTCCTGCTGAATAAATCCACTGTAATTTTGGTTAGTCTTTTGAAGTTATACTTCTCCCAACCTTATTAGGCTTAAGTATAAGTCATTTGCTAGTATAGGCCACAGTGGATGAACTATCACTTTTTATATGGCAGGGTTTGAAACACATGATTTTACTGCCATTAGGCCAGCAGATGCCATTGCAAGATTTCTTCTTTGCCCACATGAATTGCATTAATTGGTGCAGGCCACATGTACTAAAACTTGCTCCAGAAACTGACTTCAGATATGATCTATTGAGGATCACCAGGTACAAGCATGTAGCCATTAGGAGGGAACTTCCAAATTTTTTTTGCTACCAGCTTCATTTTTTGTTGCTTAGTGGCTCCAAAGATTTAAATTCTAGCCATGAAAATGTAACCTTAAGATCTCGTGGTTTAAGAAGGATAATAAACCATCTTACGTAATGAAAAGCTTCATCACTGCTCCAGATCAATTGTTAATATAATGCATCTTCTACAAAATGTTTGCTAAATGCCTTTTGTGGCCAGTGACTCATAAGGTATCTGTCAGAAAAGATGCATTCTACTGACAGGTTGCTGCATATACAAAGTGCTGAAATATAGAAGAAGCTAAGCAATCCACTAGAGTTAAGTTTAATCCTGGCCATCACCCAAAACAATTCAAAAGGACTTTCCATTGCAAGTGTGATAGCGGAAGGTTAAACACACTAAATCCTGCTCTGTTACACATTTTGCCTGGTGGTCTGAATACCCCAGTCTCAAAAACAAAAGCTCATGGAAAAGAAGTTGCTGCTCCACAATCCCACTGCACAGATAGTACAACTGATGACTGTGCATTATATAACCACTTTCAGGGACACAGAAGGTCAGCACTAGCAGAAATATAGTTGAATGATTTTGTTTTAGTTCAACTGGTAACCCAAAGTCAGGAACAACAATAGCATTCTTCTTGTCTACCCTTCAACCTTTTTCCTTCATGCAGACCACTATTATGTATACTGTTAAATATACATGTAAAGCAAAACATATAAGCTCACCTTTGCTGTTCTGTCCCGGGAACCACTCACAATTATGCCACCTTGGGAGTCTACACAGTTCACTTCCTGTTCATGCCCCAAGAACTTGAAGCTGAATGATCCATTCAGTGTATGAATGATAATATTACCATCTCTGAAAAATAAAACCCAAAGAAGGAAGGTGCATGTCCTCAGAATAATGTCTTATTATGTTCTGATCTATGGGATGGGAGGTTATCATGCCCAAAAATACACCTAATCTCCTATACCATCAGCTAGCTTATTAAATTCCACTTAACATTGTTATAGATGGCAGTCAATAAAGATGTTCAAGGTCAATTTGAAGGAGGAAAACAAGGGCAAAAGAGCTAGGAATTTAAGAAACTGTCTCATATTGAGTCAGCCCACTAATTCATCTAGTCCAGTATTGTCAAAGCAGACTGGGAGTGACCCTCTAGAGTTTCAGACTTGAATGTTTTCAGCCTTGAGATGCTGGAAACAGAATCCGGGATCTTCTGCACACGGATGGGTGATGCTAAGATTCTGTTCCATTGAACGCCAACATTTCCATTTCAGCAAGTGGTGATAAACTACAGTGGATTTTTTAAAAAAAAACGCAGGAACATTTTGTGCATTTTTTTAGTTTGGTCTTGAAATTGGCACAAATTGTATCTTTTCAGTCCTTCACAAGTGTGATACTCCTGCATACTTGTGGGGATCCAAAATGAAAAGTCTTACCTCATCAACGTCCTGGGAAGTGTTTCCTGTCAAAGTGCAGTAGGCACCATCCAAGAACATACATAAAGCAACTTACAAATGGATTCATAAGTAGCTTTGCTTTCACCTGGCAGCTGTCAAAAGCGGGTGTCATGGCACATATATCACCTCCTTCATTACCAGATCCTCTAGTTTTTATATGGGAACCTGGCACTTCTTGGCGTCCTACACTTCTTCCCAAGTCTCTGGGTACTCAGGGAAGTGAAGAAGTGTGATCTCAACCCATATAGAGTTTTGATAGTTGGGTCAGGATTCCTTTCAAAATGGGGCTTTTGAAAGCGCTACCTGGCATTTTTTGATAGACACAGAAATATGTATATGCCTGTCTCAAGAAACCCGTATTAGCTCTGAAAAGGGAAAGACCAACCCTTTTAAAAAGAAAGCCTTTCTTTAGGCAGCTGTCAATACATCATTTCCCCCAAGAATGGGTTGGTCTTTCACTTTTTCACTTTTCAGTACAACTAGAAACTTTGGAAAGGTTGGAGAAGGCGCAGCATACCAGGACACAAATCAGGACACAAATACAAACTGAAGGAACTCAAAGCAAAGGGGGTGATATACACACCACACCCTTTCATGAGTATTTCCCAGGATATTGACAAGGCAAGGCATTTCATTTCAGATTCCCATAAGTGTACAAGAGCACACTTATGAAAGAGTGGAAAATATCATTTGTCAGATTATAGTTTGCACAAAACCAAATTTGAATTTGAATTTTGACAAATTCACAAATTGCTGCTATTAACAAAAACAGAAATCTGGAGACTGGCTCAACTTGCTACAAGCTGAGTTGACACAGGGAGCACCAGGAACTGGAACAAAATCTGGGGGTCTGAAGTGTAAAAATGCATTGGATTTTCACTGCCAAATAGAATTCTCACACATCTCGCCTTCTGTGTGGAAATCATAAGCTCTACCACTTGGCCACAGTCTATCTCTAGAGCTACTTAAGCTGTACCTGGAGCTAGTTTGTGTGCAGTACTTTCCTTTCGTTAATACATTAAATTTCACTCACTTCATTTTCCGTATGTGCAACCAGAAGGGACCAATAAGATCTCTGAGACCAATAAGAAATCCTGTGCCCAGTAATAATGATAAACGACTCCTATACAGATCATACTATTTTCCCACTTATTTCATAGACCAATTATAAACAGATATTGAGGCAGCACTGCTCTAAATACAGTGAACTCTACATATTTATCTCTGTGTTGTATGGTGAAATGCAGCATCTGCAGAATTGTCCTAAAAGGTAAATTTCATGGGGACGGGAAGGCGGGGAACTTTGCAAAAACATCAGAGTCAGGAGTTTAGCCTTGACCACAGTCTTGCAGTCAAATGAACCTGGGCACCAATACTAGGGTCCTGGGCACCATTTCTTCCAGCTGTTGTTCAAGCATTCCTATAAACCAATACTAGATGCTCAATCAGTTTTTTCTTTTTTTCTCCAACAAACAGCTTACCCTCCTCCACTGACAATATGGCCATTAGCAAGCACAAAGCGGCACACATCCTCTTGGTGGCCAGAGAAGACTGCCTGAGGAAAGCGTTGCAAGCTGGTGCCATTGTGATGGAGCCAATAAACCTGAATGTCTTCTGCCTGAGATAGGTAGAGATAGTCACCATCAAGCTGCATCCAGGGCAATAAACTGGAGGAGAAAATATTTAAAATGTTAGAAAGAAGGGTAGAAGATTCAATATATTTTGGTTCAATCTATTTCTTTTTTTGTATATTCATTTGTAAGTCCACACTGGTTGACTTTGCACAACTTGAGTAAGCTATGAACCAGTAGCGAAGTGGTGATGGCCACTTCAGTGTGTCACTTGGGCACTTTGGAAGGGCAGTCTATGGCTGTCACTGGCAGAGATTGCAAAAGGATTGTAAAAGCAAAAAAGAAAAAGCTGTGGCAGTGACCATAAAGGGGTCATGACCAAAGCAAGGAGAATAAGCCCATGAAAGTCACTCCAAAGTGCCCCTTGGGTATTGCTGGAACAGCTGTCATTGGTAGTATCCTGGGCAAGTTTGGCAAGCGGTTTTTGCTGCTCTTGTCAAATGTCTCCCTTGTCATTTCCCTGGATCCGTGATAGGTTTAGTTGACCAGGTTTGGGCAACATGACAAGCCTTCATGACTGTTGTAATCAGTCCAGAGAACTTCAGTGATGGCATAGAAATTGTTGTTGTTGTTGTTGTTGCTTCAGCAAGTTGTGGAACAAGGCAAAGGATATTAGATTGGCTGGTTGCCCAAGAACAAGCTACTCTTCAGAAAGCAAAACAGCAATTCATCATGGGTAGTGAAGGATTGCCATGTCATACAAACATAGCTATCATCAAATTAAATTACATTTTTAAAAGCTGTATGAAAATTCATAGCTAACTACTGGTGTTTAACGCTATTTTGGAATAAACTTATATTTCTACATGTATTTTTTCTAAAAGTATGCACTATTAAACATATGCCTTTTATGTTGTTTTTTGAGCAGAGAACTGCTTTCCAAAATTTGGAGAAGTACAAAAATTGCAAAATAATTGCATTCCAATCCATACATTATTCTAAGAACTAAGGATTAAGTTAGTTCCCCATGAAATGGAGACCACATGAAATCTTTGAATATATCTAGTTAAATACTCTATTGGAGACTAGCAAACAACATGCATTGTTATGGGGCCCATGGAATTATTTGGAGCAGCAGCTCCATGGCCATCCAACATTAGAGTTAAGACTCCAAACGCAGAGCCCTCTGTCCAACCCTGCACATAGTGGGCACACAAAGAACTGTGCCAGCTGCAACTCCAAGGTGAAAAATGTGCTGGCTTGCTTGGGAGCAAGGAGATGTCAATGGAGCCAACAGCTTATGCCATATCCAAATGACAGCCCAACCTCCTTCCCTCTGCCTCTGCAGTGCTATGTATAGACAGCTGAAAATAGCCAGATGAAGTGCAGAGTATCAGTTGCAAAGCAGCAGAAACCATTGCACCGGACTCACATAAGCCTTTAAGGTCAGAGGCTTATGTGTATCGCACACTGGACTGCACACTGGATTGTTTGAAACTTCAACTCTTCCCAAATCCTTACCAGTTCCATGTGGTACATTTTTTATTAAACTGATTCTGATCCAACCACAATATAATTGGAAGGAAGCTTTGCTGCTTGGCACATTTAAATATCTACTTGAGATGGCTAAGAATGTGCCTTCCATTGCTAAAGAAAAATAGGACAGAAGATAATGGTCCAGGCTTTGGGATGGACAGATGGTGAGCAGTTCATATGCTAGCTAAAAGGGGAAATATCCCATTTTTTCAGCAGTAAAATATTGCTATTTGAATACTAGGACAATGCAATCAGCTCACAAAATAAGCGCAGACTTGAAAAAAGATGAAAAAACACAGTTTATAGAAAAACACTTAATCCATTTGGAACCAAGAGGAAGAGCAGTAATTTCCCAACAGCCTTGCTCACTCCTATTGAACACCAGCTGATCTGCCATTACTTTACTTTTACATATTCTGCAATTTAAACTCAGTGTTGTCATATAGGAAATGAGAGATTGATTTCAGTGAGAATGTAGACAAGAAAAATATTAACAGAGTTGCAGTGCTGCAAGACTGGCAGATAATAATAGCGTACAGACAAGGCAGCATCACCAGCTAACCAATCTCAGAGTTAGTGAAACTAACAGATTTTAGGGCTCAGCAGAGACCAAGAGTGGAATGCACACCAAAGGCAGAGCAACAATTCTAAATGAAGTTATCAGGGAAAAAGTAGGAGCTACTTGCTTGCGTTTCCATCTGAGAAGTGAGATTCTTCGACAGCGCCCATGTCTCCAGTTCTGAGAAACCTTAACCCTCTCCTTCACTGGAACACCAGTCACTCTGCAAAGAAACAGTAAACAGAGAAAAGTCAGAACCAGACAGAGCTCCAGACAGAGCTCCATTGACAAGACTCAAAGTAATCAGGTGATTCCATGCTTCCATTACCACCAAGCATTTGAAGGAAAAGGGTTACGTTGTTGGTGGTGTTGCTGGTGTTGTTGTTGTTGTTGTGTGCCATCAAGTCATCTACGACTTATGGCGACCCTGTGAATGAATGCCCTCCAAAATGTCCTGTTCTTCACAGCCCTGTTCAGATCTTGTAAATTCAAGGCTGTGGCTTCCTTTATGGTACTGGTCCCTCTCACACTTGGTCTTCCTCTTCTGACTTTGACTTGCCCTATTATGATTGTTTTCTCCAGCAAGTCTTGCCTTTTCATAATGTGTTGAAAATGTGACAGCTTCAGTTTTGTTAGTTTTGCTTGCAGTTACCTAATTTTATCTCCTGCATAAAACTGGAACTTTCTAGTCATATTTCCTGTCCTAGCACCTGCAGCCCTGTCATACATCTTAGGATGCTTCCAGAAGGAGAGTTCCTAGCATTGTTGTAAACAACCCAGAGTAGTTTGTTAGAATAGAAATAAATAAACAGACAAACACTACATTTCTGCTTAAAGCTAAAAAGAGAATTCTCATTGACTATCCACAGAGACCGAGTCTTTTTGCTGTGTTTCTCACTACCATATAAGGACCTTGTCTGTACATGTGCGTTTTTTTAAATAGAGTACCTACAAGTCAATTGCAGCTTTACCTCTAAATAAGCATGGTTACAACTGGTTACAGCTATAAATCCTGATTTTTTCTGATCAGTTCCATAACCCAGCAAGGATACTAGACATATTCACATGCCAAAACAATTAATAGTAATAATTTACCATGGTGGGTTGGCTGTTGTGTGAAGCATTCCCAATGAACTCAGACAATCCAGTTCATCATAGGTGTTTTTCTCACTCCCATCCATTCAGTGCTCTAGGTGTTATCCCATGAGAGACCATGGCAGAAACAAACTATAATCTGAAACCATTTTAGGTCCAGTGTTTGTTCTCCACACCCTTATTTTATGTTTAGACTGGGAAAAACTGCTTGAGAGCCAACTTCCCCAAACTCTGTTTGGACAGCCCCTAGCCCCCTTCAAAATTTCACAGAGGCACCTTGTACGGGATGCTGATGATTGCTCAATACTTTTTAAAACTTTTGCAAGCTCAGAAATCAGTGCACAAAAATGACCTTAAAAAATTCCTCCCATCAGTTCAAAGGCAGTGTTCAGCATTCTTTCTTTAAAGGAACACTAATAGTAGCTCCTCACATTGTTGCTGGGGCTGCTTCTAACAGGGTTTCTGCTACCCATGGGCAGCAGGTAATTTTCCTGCAAAGTGCCCACCAGAAGTTTCAATCCCAGCTCCCATGCACTCTTTCTTAACAAGCTGGAAATGTACCAAGGGAAATGAAACCCAAAGTACAAGATTTTGGAGGGAATATCCTCCCCTTCTCAGCAAGATCCTTAACATTTCAAGTCTGCCCCTCTTGTTTAAAGCCCAGGGGGAACCACTTTTGCAGTTTTCCCTGACCCTCTAGAGGCTTAAGTAAGGCTAATAGTTCATCCCCACCTTTTAAAGATGAGCCAAATTGTCAGTTCAATGACAGATAGTTCTCAATTCTGGGTCCCTTTAAGGGGGGGGGGGGTGAACATGAATCTGAATCTGGTGGATTTCTACTGAAATCTACCTCTGAATAGTCCAGATACCTGAGATCTCCCTCAAAGCCCCCATGTTCACTAAAGGAAGGACCTTAAAAATGTGAGAATCTTGTGGGAGAAATCCTGCAAAATACCCCTTTCTCAACAGATCTCTCAAGGTTTGGGTTGTCCAATGGCTTCTCCCAAAGGATCTGCCAAGAGAAAGGAAGGGAGAGAAAGTTTTCAAGTCTCTTCTAGGCATTGTGCAGGGAGGGTACTTACTACCACTAGACAGTGGGGCCCCCTCCACAATAGAGGCTTGAAATGTTCCTATTAGCAGGAGTTTACAGAAATGGGAGAAAAAGAAAGTTTAAAAAGTTAATTTTTGTGCACACAATTTTAGGGATACAAAAATTAAAAAGCCTGACTAGTATAGCACTTTGAAGGGGGAGCTGGTGGTGGCAGAAAGAGAAATTAAGGAAGCTGGCTTTCAGACTATCTTTCCCAATCTCTGAAAAAAAGGACAGAAAAGCAATAGGGGGCTAAAAAAAGAGTTCTGGTTCAGCAGGGCTCCACATCATGGTTGTTATGTGCCATCAAGTTGCCTCCAATTTATTGCAGCCCGATGAATGAAAGCCCTCCACAGTAGCTTATCCTATCCTATCCTATCTATGCCAGCCCTGCTCAGCACTTTTAAATTCAAGGCTCTGGCTTTCTTTGGGGAGTCAATTCATATAATATTTGGCCTTCCTTCCACATCATGATGTGGATAGGGAAAGCAAGTGCCAGTTGTCTTCAAATGTTGTTTGGGCACTGGTGAGTAACCGGCAATGACAGAGGCCAGGGTTAACTCAAGAAGAGCAACAGGGGGTTTTTTGCTTGTATCCAGACCTGACCCATGATAGGTCATGGCATACAGATATGGATGACACAACAATCCATCATGAGGAAAACCGCTAAAGCAACCCATGTTGACTGGATAGTCTGAAAAAAGCCACCCATGCTGGGTTTAGACAACACAGCCAACCATTGAATGTTATTGATGGTTGGTTGTCATGTTGTACAAACCCAGTCACTGTCCTGCTTTTTCTAGACAATTTCAAATCTGCCCTTTGATTTTTCCACTAACTGTTCTGTGTTCTATGTCACCATTAACCCCTTCTTTATACTTCAAAGCATGTGGCTCATAATTAGTCCTTGCAAAGAGAGCAAGATGGTACCACCCCAAAAATGGGAAAATGCAAATTTCTTTCTGAACTCAAGAAGAATATGGTCAGAAACTAAGGAGGCTTTATTTTAATCAACACCACCTAGAGAGTGCCAAAGTCTAAACACAACATGCATTGGACTAATAAAGTAAAGAAAGAGAATCCTGTAAGAGCTCTGCATGAATAAAAGCTACTTTAAACAGGCATGTGCAACAGTGGGAGGAACAAAACTTCAGGAATGCTTTTGTTCTAGCTCTGTGCATTCCAGGACCAGGCTCATGGGCACCGACCCTTCAAATGAACGGCAGTTTACAGCACTCAAACTACTGTGGCTGTTTATTATTAACACAAATTTGGAAGGGGGTTTAGCTTTCATGGAGCTAGAAGGGTGAGTTCAGACTAGTTAGCTGGTGCCCACTTCAATGGGATAATGTGTAACTGCATTTATATTCCACTGCCTGTTACCTTTCCTTACCCATTCCTCTGGTCCCTTCGTGGCTTTCCCCACTATTATTTTTATGACTATAATTGTAAACTACTTGTGGCTGAGACTTTTCCCTCTTTATTTCTATTTTGCTCCATGAAGCATTAATGTAGATTTGATGGTGTTGTATAAAAGAGCAACTCCATAGTTGCCTTAAGTGCCAATCACAATTTGCTTTCCCATGACATACACCTATGGCAAATTTTCCCTCCAATAACTTAGACAAAACACTCAGATTTGCCCACATAAAGTTAAACTTTAAGGGAAAATAAATGACTACACTATCAGAGGGGAACTTCAAATTCATCTAGCCAAGTCTTCCAGGTTAGCAAAATTTGATGTGTACAAATCTAGGCTGATTCTAATAACAATACAGTTTCATTTATTCAATCTCCATTGGCACTTTTGTAGTCTATTTCTCCCATGAAGCAAAAACAACAATGGCTAAGCACTTTACTCCCAAAAGGAAAAACTTCTAGTTTAGAGAGACTTGCAGAAACTACCCATATCTATGGGAATTCACCACACGTATAGTAATTCATTTTCAGTATTTCTATACTGCTCTGCATCCAAACATGCGCAGTGGCAAACTGTTTATGGTTAAAACAAAAGAAAAAATCAATACAATGAAAAGATTTTAAAACAAAGTAACATTAAAACCATGGCCAGGCAACAAGAAAGTGTTTCCTGGAATAAGATTGACTTATCAGGCACTGAAAACTGCACACTATTGGTACCTGCCAGACCCTTCAAGGCAGGGATTCCCATAGAAATGGGACCAACGCGCTGAAGAATCTATTCCTTCTGGAGTCCAGTCACACCTTAAGTTTGTGTAGAACCACCAGGAGAATGTGCTGTACAGCACTCAGTGACCAGGTAGGCTGATAAGGACTTTTAACTAGGTCTGTGGCCAGAGTCTGGTTGAATTCAAAAGGACAAAAAGATAGAAATTTGTCTTCTCATGACATCATGTTACATTTTCTCTCACAATAGAAATGCAAGACTGCATAGCTAGTTCTGTATCTCCCAGATCACAGCAGCATATTAAGCTAACCCTCATGGATAGCAGTGGAAACATGAACTAGATTCTGCTCCTAAAGAAGAAAAAACATCTGCAATTGGAGATTTGCTAGCAATTCCATCCATCAAACACAAGACTGAATAGAAGATGTCTAGTTCCCCATTAGCTGTGGGGGCTAACAAAGAAGAAAGCTCTTGTCATGCATCAGTGAACAGAACTGAAAAACTATGAGGCACAGAACAGAATTAAAACAATAGACAGGGACACATAGTAGGTTGCTGCTTTTAAACAGTTTCTTTTCCTATCCAAATAAGCTGTGCTAGAACAAATGATACTGAAGGGATATTAATCACTGGCCACTGATGGAGCTGAAGTTCCATGCTACTCAAACTACCCCTGGGCAGCTTCTCACATAACCTGCTTTGGTTGAATATTGATCTTTCAGTATAGGAATTAAATAAGCCAATTAAACTTAAATGCTGATCTGTCAATGGAAATTTTCATATTAATTTTCAGGAGCATGGAAAGTTTACCTTACACCAGTCCAAACCTGCCATTTTTGCTGTATATTTTAAGCAATTATCCTATTCCCATTTGTCTTGAGATTTTTTTAAC